TGTGTGTGTGTGTGTGTGTGTGTGTGTGTGTGTGTGTGTGTGTGTGTTAGAGAGAGAGAGAGAAAGCAAATAGATATGACCAGAGAAGAGTACGGGTGTCTTCCTTTATTGATGGATTTTTTTTTCTTAATTTGACTTTATGAGTATATGTATATGACTTCCTGTATGTTTGTGTACCACCTGTGTGCCTCGTGCCTGGGGAAATCAGAAGAAGACATCTAATTCTCTGGAACTGGAGTTACAGACAGCTGTGAGCTGCTGTGGTGGTGCTGGAATTGAACCCAGATTCTCTAAAAGAGCAACCAGGGCTCTTAACCACTGAGCCAGCTCACCAGTCTCTCCACCTTATTTTTAAAGACAAAGTCTTTCACTGAACTTGGAGCTTGCTGCTTTGTCTAAACAGCCAGGCTAGCAAGTTCCTTGAGATCCCTCAGTCTGCCTGTCTTCACACCCAAAATCTGGGATTTCAAGCTCAGGGGGCCATGTCCATCTGAGTTGTGGGTGCTGGGGATTTGAACTCAGGTTCCCTTGCATTGACAGCAAGCACTCTGTGAGCCACCTTCCCAGGCCCCAGCTATCCTTTTTTTATTATTCTAATTTCACTTTATTTATACACAGATCATTGAAAAGGGGAGATTCATGAGTTAGTTGGAAAAATACTTAGAAAATGTCAACCTGCCTCTTCCCAACTTGTTCTTTCAATGAGAACAAGTGCAGGCTCAGAGCCAGTTTCTGCAGAGGCAGTTTGAAGACCCAGGTTTTGGAAGGAAACCTGGGAATGAATAAAATCAATGCACACTGTGTGTTCGAGAAGGGAGTGACTCAGAGGGCCATTCACTTCTTCGACTGTTTACTGAGAGCTATCAGTTCTTTCTTAGAACCAGAGCCCACTTGGCGATGCAGGCATCCTGCCCATGTCCAGCTCCGGCCTCTTCAGGGAATGCCTTATGTCAACAGCAAAAGGAGGAGATGCTGCATAGCTCAGCTCCGAGATTTTTGCCTAGTTTGGTGGTAGATGGCTTATTAAAGTTTCATTTAAATATTTAGCTACTAAAGTAAGATGCAAAATCACTAATAGGCACCAAGTATTTGAGAACTTCTTTTTTCCATTGTATTTTATGTGTATGGATGTTTTGCCTGCATGCATGCCTGTCTGCTCACTATGCACATGTCCGATGACCATGGAGACAGAAGAGGGTGTCGGATCCCCTGGAACTGGAGTTACAGATGGTTGTGAGCCACCATGTAGGCGCAAGTATCCGAGCCCACATGTAAAAGCAGCCAGTGTTTTTAACCACTGCATCATCTCTCCAGCCCCTAGGGAGTACTTTTTAAACTGCAATTATTCATAACTTTTAAATGGATCTACCAAGAGTGTTTGGCCCTCCGTATCGATCCCTGGGTTCTGTATCCATGGATTCAACCAAGTCTGTATTAAAAAGAAAGAAAAGGAAAGGAAACCAGTTGTGTTGGTAGAAGAACTTTTGGTCATTCTTCCCTAAGCAGCGCAGTGTAACAACTGTCCCCTTACTTGCGTATGCAGCGTTACATTGTGCTCAGGGTTATAAATGAAGCGGAGCCCACTTAAAGCATGTTGTGGGTGTGCGTAAGCTGTCTGCAGGCCCTGCACTATTTTATAAACTGACCTGAGGATCTGTGGATTGTGTTATCTGAAGAGAGCCTGGAACTAACCCACTGTGGACGCTGAGAACGGCCTCTAACATTATTCCTTTCTCATACTTTGACAAAGAATGGGCCATTAAGAGACTTAAAGGGCTGGGGTGATGGCTCTTATGAAAGCACTTATCTCATAAGCATGAGGACCAGAGTTCAGATCAACAGAAACCCACATAAAATGCCAGGTGTATGCAGGGGCCCACCTGTAATTCCAGCCTTCAAAGGTAAAGGCCAATACAAGAGGTCTCCAAAACAAGGTCACTAGCAAAACTAGTCATAATCGGCAGCTCTGGGTTCAAGTGAGAGAGCCTGCCTCTGTAAATAAGGGGGAAGAGCAATGGAGGATGACTCTTGATGACAACCTCAAGCCTGCACATCCACCCTTCCACATGCTCTCACAAATGCGCAAGGACATGCATACACACATACACACAAAAAATAAAAAGCATAAACTTTAAAGTCTACATTCTTTTATTTCTTAGTGCTTGATCCATTAAAATCTCCATCTCTTAGTGACCCAAGTTGTGTGCTACCATTGGTGGTAAATAGGGTGTGGCTACTGAAGATCCGAATTCATTTCTGGCTTTGCAGTGTTTATGCTGGTCCATCATTTGCATTCGGTAAAGCTTCATTTCTCCTCTTATTAGAAAGGATTCATCACGTATGCCCTCCCCCTCCTCCTTTGCTAGGAGTGGTGCTAGTGATGGTGAAAAGCACAGGTGTCTCAGATTCTCTGGCAGCATTAGAACAACTCAGCATTTCCTTCTGAGACTCACCCACAGAGGTCACAGGTGGCTACCAGTCCATGGGGCACCTTGCAGTCAAAGAGGGTAGAAACAGGAACACACAAGTCTCCTGGATCTCCAAGGCACTGTAGCTAGGACAAAGTCTAGCTCCCTTTTGACCCATACTGCTCTGCTCTGTGGAGGCCAGTGGATTTTAATTAATTGTACATGGTGGAATCTGTGTATGGGGATGTGCGTGTGTGAGTGCGGGTGCTAGAGATGTCCAGGAGAGAGCATCAGATGCCCTGGAACTGGAGTTACAGGTGATTGTGAGCTGTCTAATGAGTGCTGAGCTCTGAACTATGGTCCTCTGAAAGAGTAGGAAGCACTCCTAACCACTGAGCCATCTCTCCAACCCCCTAGTAGGAATTCTGAAGGATCACCCCAGAGCAGGGTTTCTCAACCTGTGGCTCCAGTGTGAGGAACTGTATTAAACGGTCGAAGCATTAAGAAGGTTGAGAACCACTGTTCCAGAGGACCCAGTGGAGCTGAGAATGAATATGCTTCCAGTTCACAGAACAGGGAGCTGGGGAGATTACCCTGTGGGTAAGAGCATAAGATCCAGAGCTGGGCTTGGAAAGGGAAAGGGAAGAGAAACAGGTGGCTTTCTGGGCCTGCAGGTTAGACAGCCTAACTGAATGAGTAACTCCAGGTTCAGTGAATGACCATGTGTCGAGGGAATAAGGTAGACAGCAACTGAGGAAAGGCACCCAACATCCCAAAAATGCATGCATGGGTTCAGCCCCTGCTACACATACACGCACGCACGCACGCACACAGGAAGAATAGGTGGTGCCTGTACTGGAGGTGATGACTGAGCTCTCTTCTGCTGTTCTTACTTGTCACACTCTCTTCCCAGTAGTTCCAGGCTCTATGCTCCGGGAGCTCAGCTCAGCCCATTATCTAGCATAAACCATGTTTGAACATCTTTTTTTTTTTTTTTTTTTTTTTTACATCTCCAACAGATTTATTTTTAAAGGAATGGCCTAAGGGAGAAAAAAAATGGGGTACAGAAGTATGGACTAGAAAATAAATACAAATGTATGCTGTTTTACTAATTAGTTTATAACCACAAAGGTACAGAGGATGGTGCCCTGTACAAAACATAACAGATTCAAACGAGGTGTTCCCTTAGCAAGGCTGAAGATTCAGTCTCTGGTATTTGGATCTAGGATGCAGTCCTTGTGTTTGGCTCACTGGGTGTTTGGCACAGCTGTGCTTCTAACCGGATTTGAACAGAAGAATGGCCACCTGACCCAGGTAGAGATAGAAGAAGTGCTTGGTTTCATGTGTCCGCCCCACGATGCAGTGCCAGGTGGGATTGTACTTCTTGTCAAACTCCTTCTTGATGTGGGCCGCAATGTCCTTTCCTGTGTTGTACTTCTCCAACGCTTGGGTAGCGTACTCCACCGAGTCCTGTTGCATCTCTTCCGACATGTCTGCATTTTTGATCACCGCCTTCCGGTCGCACATGGTTACCGTGGAGCAGGGGCCAGCCGGCTGCTGCGAGCTCCTAGGGAAGGTGCTGGCGCCGCTCAAGCAGCTGAGTAGAGCCGGTCGCTACCAAAGCCGTGGCGCATCTCTTGAACATCTTCTAAGTGGACTGGTAACTGAGTGGATGGACGAATGATGAAGCTTCTTTTCAAGAAAAATAAAACTGACCATCACAATCCCCTGTCTAAGGATATTAGCAGCCATTCCTCAGGTCCCGCCAGTTCAGGCCAGTCATTTCTTTCAGACCAGATGCTCTTTCAGGAGGAAGAACATCCACATGAGATGTTATTAAAGTGTCCGAGTGTCAGTCCTGTGTGATGGGATAGCTTCAGGAAGGTTTTGGTTTTGTTTGGATGTTTTGTTGTTTGTTGTTGTTTTCATGAAACCAGGTCTCACAGTGTAGCCCTGGCTGGCCTGGAACTCAGAGAGGTCCTCCTGCCTCTGCCTCCTGGAAGCTGGGGTAAAAGGCATGTGCCAGCACATCCCAGCTTCAGGAAATCTTGAAGGTTCTTCCTAGGGCCAGTATTTGCTCATGTGTGGTATTTCCTGTTTGGGTTTCCCCAGGCCCAGACAATAAGAGGATGGCCAGGAATGTGTTGAAATATGAAAGGCTCTTGGCAGAGAATGCTCACCAGGAAGTGGCTGAGACTGTCATTCAGAGGCCCAACGTACCCCACCTGCAGACCAGGGACACCTACGAGGGCCTGTGCCAGACCCTGGGCTCCCAGGTGGGCTTCCTCCGGGAGAGAGGAAAGGGAGAACTGGCTGGGGTTGGGGTAACTTGAGGGGAAAACTGACGCCTTAATGACAATACAACGCCTGAGAGGCTCCATCTTCTAGTACCAGTTCATGATGCCATGGCTCCCAGGAGCCTTGACCCATCTTTTCTTACATCGATTCTATCTTTCTTTTCAGCCCACACACTACCAAGTCCCCAGCCTCTACTGCTCTTACGAGACCAATTCCAGCCCCTACCTGCTGCTCCAGCCTGCCCGCAAGGAGGTCATCCACCTTCGACCCTTTGTAGCTCTTTACCATGACTTTGTCAGTGACGCTGAAGCTCGGAAAATCCGAGAGCTTGCAGAGCCGTGGGTGAGCATCCCCAATACCTCCTTGTTTCCCCACATGCCTGGAGAACAGATGGCTGGCACAGCAAGACATTTTCTTAATCCAGGAGCTGAAAATGCCAACCATTCCGTAAAACCAGTCAGTGGTGGGGAAAAGCATGGCTGTACTCAGCTCTGGTGGGAAAGGATTGAGATGAGGTGCCAGGGGAGTTAGATGCTCAGATTGTGCTGGCAATATATTCTTAGGGATGTGGAATACATAGCTATCAACAGTTGTTAAAATCCAGCCAATAGTGTGCTTGAGACCTGGGCCTATTGTACATCAGAGTGATCTCAGAAAATAAAAAGGAGACTTCCCCAAATGTCAACTTTTCCTTATAATTAATAGAAGAAAAGAACTTGACAGCAACAAGGAGTGACATACTAGTACGTATTTACAGACAGAGTAGATATGGATTATCTGATTCAGTTTCGTGACTCTGTGAAAGAGGGAACTGAGGCCAGAAAGGGGAACTGGTTTAAGGCAAACACGTAACTAGAGCCAGGACTGAGTGTAGAGAGCTGATTCTCTCTCTCTTGTTCTTCTCTCTCTTAGTAAATTCAGGCGAAGTTACACTGGGTAACTGGCCCCTTACCCTCGGAGACCGCAACAGTTTACGTTACATGTTGGCATTGGGCTGGCTGCAGCTCGGCCGCAGCTCCAATCTGAGACCCAGCCTGGCATTTTCTTAGTTCAGGAGCTGAAAAGTCTCCTTTGGGATTTTACCGGTCTCATGGAAGAGGGAATAAGACAGAAATGGCAAATGTGAGCTGGCTTTTAAAGCTTGTATTTGGAAATGCAAAGATCACTTCCACCAACAAACTGGTAAAAGCACAGAGGCAGGAGGATCTCTGTGAGTTCAAAGCCAGCTTTGTCTGCATCGTAAGTTCCAGGACAGCCAGGGCTACAGAGTGAGACAGTGTCTCAAAAAGCCAAAAAACAAACAAACAAACAAAAAAAAACCAACAACAACAAAAAACCTCAAAAAGCCAAAAAACAAACAAACAAACAAACAAAAACAAAAAACAACAACAACAAAAAAGAAGACCTGTTTAATCCAGCTTCTGGAAAGGATAGTCCATCTCACCTCTACAATCCTGTTGTATTTTCTTTGAAGGCACAGTTATTTGGGGCAGAATTATTTATTTCCAAATGGACGCCATGTCCTTAAGTGTGCTGTCCATCCAGTGAGACATTTAGTCATCCATCAACAAAGAGGTGAGGAACTTTTCCTCTGCATAAGGCAGTGATTGCCAACCAGTGAGTCTCAACCCCTTTGGGGGTCAAACGATTCTTTCACAGGGGTCACATATCAGTTATGCTGCATATCTGATGTTTATATTACAATTCATAACAGTAGCAAATGACAGTTATGAAGTAGCAGTGAAAAAACTTTATAGTTGGGGGTCACCACAACATGAGGAACTGTATTAAAAGGATTGCATCGTTAGGAAGGTTGAGAACCACTGGCGTAAAGCAAAGACAGTGCTGTGATCGAAAGCACTAAGTGAGGTGACCTGAGGGGAAGGTCAGGGGGAGGAAGCCCTGGGGAGGAGAGGAAGGAGCAGGTTTCTCTCACTGAGAGTAATGGGCAGGGTATTCTGGAGAGACAGAGCCACACATTGCAAGGGCCTGGCAGGTAATGTGTTCAGAGACTAGAGAAGCCTGGTGTCACGTTAGGGAGTTTGGGCTTTACTGCACAGGCTGTGGAGAAGGACAAGGTGACAGATGGGGCCATGAGTGGCCCCAGTTTTTAAGGAAAACTCTGAGAGCAGAAGTAGGTTGGAGTGAGACCAGCAATCAATCATCTGTCCTCCAGGCCAGGCTAAGTCTGTTCTGAGTTTTGTTTGTTTGTTTTCTGAGATGATTAACTTGGCTGGGGATAACAATGGTGCATTGTCAGTGACATCAAGCTAGCAGCAGCCTTTTTCTTAGAACAGCTCTGTGGCCACGGTGTTGGGACAGGTGACCCATCAAGAGATGTTCACTGACCCCTTCACAGCAAGGTCATGTATGAGCATGCACAGACCTTGCCACTCTCCCTTTCCGAGCAACCTCTCTTTGCAGTTGTTGATGACTGTCTGGCCTGTGACTATTCCAAGATAAGCTAAGGGCTTGTGGGAGGATGGTCCCCATGGTACCTGAGCCTCCATGGTACCTGACTTACCTTCTCTTCCTCTTCTTCCTCCTCTTCCTCCTTCTCCTACTCTTCCTCACTATTCTCTCCTGAAGCCTCCTCCCCATCTACTCCTGCCCTTTTTCCTCAAGAACTCAGTAGAAACCATGTACCTCCGAGGGTCCCCCAGCACTGGCTGCAATTCTGGCCTGCTTTCATTCGTTCTCTGGGTGACTGTGCCTTTCAGGGCACTTTTAAGGGGCCACATGCACTAAACCACCTTTTCTCTGAACTCAAAGCTTCTGTTACCAGCTGAATAGCACTTAATTTTTCTGTTAATTCTGCCATGTATGTATTGGCTGGTATCACTAAGCATTGTGTCTCCCCAACCCTTATTCTGCGCATTGCTGCTGCTAAGATTTTGTCCCATGCATGTGACGTTTATATTTGTTCATGCGTGTATACTCATTTGTATAACTCCAGATTAAATTTGAAGGTTTTCCTCATTAACCTCCCCCACCTTATTTTTTTTAAAGACAGGGTCTCTCTTTGAGCCAGGAGCTCATCAATCCAGCTTTTAACCTGGCTAGCCAATGAACTGCAAGGATCCACCTCCCTAACCATTGGGATCATAGACTCACCTCCACACCTGGCCTTTTACGTGAATGCTGGAGATCAAACTCAGGTGCTTCTGCTTACACAACAAGCCTTTTGTCTCCTGAGCCATCTCTCCAGCCCCTTATAGTTACACTTTGGGAAAGATTTTGCTGTGTTGCCCAAACTGGCCTCAAACTCCTGAGTTCAGAGGATCCTCCCCTCTCAGCCTCTTGAGTGCTGGGCTTATAGGCAAGTTCCACTGTGCCTGCCTAATCTTTGAAGGTCAGAACTGCTAGAACTGGCTTTCTAAATCTCTTAAACTCTTGAGTGTTGACACAGCTCTGTAGCCTGGCTGTTGCTGACTCCTTCTTTGCCCTTGACAATTGAGCTGCCTGTCTTTTCTATAAATAGGCCTCTGTCTCTCTCTCTCTCCTTTCCTCCCTCCCCCTCTCCATCTCTTCTTTCTGTCTGGAATGTCTGGAATACTCTACTCTTGGCTTCTTTCAGACTGTATGATTGCAGCATGAATATAAGCATTTTGGGAAGGCTTCCCGTCCCTAATAAGAAGGGGCAAGAAGCCTATCTCTGTATATTCATAGCAGCTTGCCCATTATAACATCATCAATCTATGGACAGGGATGTTCTCTGGTTTAATATACATACACACGTACATACTTACATAGATTTAATGTCCCTCACAGCGCTTAACATCAAAAATTCAATAAATACTTGCTCTAAAAAACGAATGACTTGCCTGTAGACAATGACAAAACTATGAAAGAAACTAGGTACAAAGTAACTCCCTAAAAGGGGTGGGGTAGAATTTTTTAAAAAACAAACAAAAAAAAACCGATTGATTTTTTTTTTTTTTTTTTTTTTTGCCCTAGAATAACAAAAGAGGACATTTGTCTTTGAAACTCTCCTCTTCTGGTTTTAGAAATGACAGAGGCACCACTGGTCACCAGTACGTCCTAGTATAGCAGAGCACCAGGCCAGGAACAGCTGTCAGGGGTGCATGCTGTGGCGTGCCTACAGACAAGGAATTGTGTCCAGGGGAAAGGAGCGAGCTTTCCTGAGGTCGGCTGTCTGGGTTAGCAGCTGGGAAGGCTGCTGCGTTAGAGGAAGGGAGAGGCTTGGCTATAAAGAGTTTATGAAGAAAGGGTCTCAGCTGCATGTGGTTCATGAGGGGAGGGGTTTCAGCTGTGTGGTTCGTGAGGGAAGGGGTTTTGGTTGTACAGTTTATTATTTCACCTCTTCTCTCACTTCTCAGAGATAGAGAATGCTCTTGGTAATAGGGGAGAATGTGGGAGCTAGCGGAGCTGGCTTCATTAAGATGTCCCTTTAACCATTTCTGAGCATCTGCTCCCTGCCAGGCCAACTCCTTGCCCTACAGAGGCTCACTCAGATACTAGACAGAGGCAGACACAGTCTCAAGTGCTCATTTCTCTGTCCCTAGAATGGTGAGTTTTCAATAAGGACATACATTAAAAAATAGACTATAGACGCTACATACAAAAGTGTTCAGAACAAAATAGAAACAGTTAAATTAGTACCTTCAAATTGTGGGTTTGGGGTTTTTGTTTGTTTGGTTGGTTGGTTGGTTTTTCATAAGCTGGGCAGTTGCAGCATAGCAGTGACCATCTGTAAGGAAGAGTTTTGGCTAGGGTTCTTCAGAAGGGACAGGCCGCTCCAGAAGGACCTTGCTATTGGAGATGTCCATTTAATTTGACAAGCATGAAGTGCTTATCCTAGCTCAAGCCCCAGGCCTGACGCCGTGATACAAACCGAGATGAGAAATTGCCGTGCTCTTCCCCAACTCAGTCTTGCCCACACAAAAGGGACTCTGTAGTGACACAATTGTTCTGGCTCTTTAAATGCAAGAGACATGTTTGTGCCACACATAAAATACATTTTTAACGAGCAAGGAACTGTCAATTGTTACGCTGTAGAGACAGGCACGTCTGTGGCATGATGAGCCATCCCTTTGCATGGGAACCACCTGGTCTTTCTCTTGTGCTTTCCACCAGCTCCAGAGATCAGTGGTGGCTTCGGGGGAAAAGCAGTTACAAGTGGAGTACCGCATCAGCAAAAGGTAGGAAAGGGCCTTGCAGGCAGCCCCTCTTGGGGCTGAGGGTACATCTGGGTCAGTAACAACCCTTCTGGGACCGCTAGAGGGCCGGTAGTTCATGTTGTTGAAATCTACTGTGAGAGAAGTTTCCACGCTGTCATACCATGCCTCCATCGATTGCAGTATTGTCTGGAGATTAACTGAGAGGTCACTAGGAAAAAGCTTGGCAAAAACTACTCTGCCTTAAAGCAGAAAACACGCATCCCAGGATGCTGCTCAGAGAATGCGTTCCTACACACGTCTCTAATTTTACTGTACAGACCCCCTTTCCACCTCCTGACTCCCGTACAAGGCTCCAATGTGTGCAGCCAGTCCTACCCTTCGGCCCTACCTACCCCCAACCATTTCTTTCCACAGTGAGTACAGGACTGGGGAGAGAGCGAGAAGGGGAATGCCCTTCACAGCCACGTGAGAATGTGGCGTCAGCTTCCTAGAGAAAGGCTAGACCTCTAGGCGAATGTCCTTGTCCTCTGGGAGGGGACGTGAGAGATGAGTTTTAGTCCAGGATTATTTGAGCGCCCTTGATTTGGACTGGTACATTTAGGACTGTCCACCCTACTTCCTACTGTGACCAAAACCTAACCAGAAACAACTGAAGGGGAGAAAGGTCGGTTTTGGTGGCTGGTTAGAGCGGGTCTAGTCCATCGCGGTGGAAGGCGTGATGGCGGTGGTTCCCTGGTGGCAGAAATGGGCAGTGAAACCTCTTCACCTTCCTACATCTCGGGGGAGCAGAGACAGGGCCTGGATTGGAAGCAGGACCAGGCTGTGAACCCCAAGACCCACACCCAGGTTCTACAGCCTCACACAGCAGCAGCAGCATCTGGAGACCAAGTGTTCAAACACATGCACCTGTGGGAAACACTTTCCACCCAAACCATTATCAGGGACATTTTACGTTAAAAGCTGTTCTCTTGGAGTATGTGTACCATGTGCATGCTTTGCCCAAGGAAGGCATAGGAAGGCATTGTGCTTCCCACAACTGGAGTTACAGACAGTTGTAAGCAATGTAGATGCTGGGAACTGAACCCAGGTCCTCTGCAAGAGCGAGTGCTTTTAACCACCGAGCCATCTCTCTAGCCTCTGTGCTTTTTTTTTTTTTTTCTTTTTTTTTTTTCTTTAAAAGCAGTGGCTAATTTTGTCCTGGGTGACTTTTGCAAATCCAAGAGCTTGTAGTTTAATAATCTCCGCATAATGATATGGAACAAAATAATCCATCAGGGCTACTTAGAGAACACAGCCTCGTTTGTCCAGGGGTTTCAGTTCTGGCTTCAAATTCTCTTCTTCATAAGAATCTCAACAAGACATTCAGACACGGAGTCTGAACTGGGCTTGATCTGTCCTGGTTTGCACAGAGCTGGACCAGATAGTTGAGATGCCCCTGTGTACCATGGCAGTCAGTAACATACCCTACACAATTCTCCACGAGTGTTTCTCTCTGTCTTCTAAAATCCTGGAAGTAGATATAACCGTCACCCCCTTTATAGAGGAGTACACTGGCCCTTAGAAAGGTCATGTACCTGACAGCATCATGCAGAGATGGAGACATGTTGAAGAAACTACTGTAGTTTCTTCCATTTCCATTCTTCCTTTCGTTCCTTATCTCCCCTTTCCTTTGGTTGGGGCATCCAGTCTTGCTGTGTTTCTCAGGCTGCTTTTGAACTCCTGGACTCAAGCCACCTTCCCACCTCAGCTTCTTGAGTGTTGGATGCACCACCACACCCAAAAGTCATCACTTTAAGTCCTGGCTGCTCCTCATGGAGATGTCTTAATAGCACAGCAATTTTAAGGATGGGGTTTGTCATCTTCCTCTCTGAGTCATTCATGGTCCTGGGTTCTGTGAGCTTTCACCCTGCTCAGCTCAGCTCAGCATAGCCTCAAAGAGTGTTAGCCATGCAAATGAGATTGTAGGCCAAGCAGACTGGGCTGGCCTGAGGATGAGTGGGTGACTAGGCATTCATGGCTCCTTCTCTCTCTCTCTCTCTGGTAACAGACTTGATTCATTTATTTATTCATTCATCCATCCACATCTGTCTGTCCATTCATTCACAGACAACATGTGGCCAGTTCCAGCATCAGATCCTGACATTCCAATCCTTGCTGTGTTTTCAGTGCCTGGCTGAAGGACACTGTTGACCCCATGCTGGTAACCCTGAACCACCGCATTGCTGCTCTCACAGGCCTTGACATCCAGCCTCCCTACGCAGAATATCTCCAGGTGGTGAACTATGGAATCGGAGGGCACTATGAGCCTCACTTTGACCATGCGACGGTAACAGTGGGGTCAATGGCCAGTCTTCTGCGGTAGGGAGCCAGTGCGCTCTTTCTCAGAGGCACAGGTCTGGTAGGGCTGTCAGAGAATACTGTCGAGTCCAAGAACACAGGCTCTTGTCTCCAGATTATCTGACAGCCTTGGTTCTGCTGGTTACTGGGTTCATTTCCTTACCTGTCACTGCCTTCTTCTTCACCAGAGTTTTCCAGTGGGAGAAGAATATGGCCTGTAATAAAATCTCATCTCCCACTATCCTTGGGGACTTTCCGGTGAGGACTGTCTTCAAATCTTTCTCCTTTCTTCGTGACCTCAGCTGCTCACCTGTACTGCCAATAGCACTTATTTACCCACTTACTTACTTATGAGCTTTTCCAGACAGGGTTTCTCTGTGTACCCTTGGCTGTCCTGGACACACTTCTTAGACCAGGCTGGCTTCGAACTCACAGAGATCTGCCTACCTCTGCCTCCCTGAGTGCTGGGATTAAAGGTGTGCCACCACACCTGACTACCGGAAGCTAGCTAGCTAGCTAGCTAGCTAGCTATCTATCTATCTATCTATCTATCTATCTATCTATCTATCTATCTA